CTCCCTGGCCGAGGGGACCCTCGGCACGGACGCACTGGCGTGCAGCTGGCCTCGGGGCCTACACATATATGCGTTTCCCCCAGTGAGCCTTCTCGCACAGACACTGTGCAAGGTCAGGGAGGATGAGGAGCAGGTTCTCTTGGTAGCGCCATATTAGCCCAGTCGGACGTGGTTCCCTCCTCAGAGGAATTCGCCAAGGGGGGACTGTCGCAAGGAGCATCAGTCCTTGCGACAGCCCCTCCTTGGCGAATTCCTCTGAGGAGGGATCTCCTTTCTCAGAGAGGGGGCACCCTCTGGCACCCGCGTCCAGACTTGTGGAATCTGGGTGATCCCACATGTGTATTCTTCCACGGTACGGCTCCCCTCACGGTAAGCCCGTGTCTTTCCCTGGCAGTCGTTCACTGCCATCTCTGCTCCATAGTTATCTCACCCCAGGCGGGTTGAGTCTACCGCAGGGACTTCCATATGTAGTACTGCCCTGGACCAGTCCATATGTGTAATTCCACATGATACCTCCTATGTGCGGGATGGGGCTTCCGTAACGTCCCAACTGGGTACGCTTTCCCAGTGTTATCCAATGTACCACTGTATGGAACAGCAGTGGCGGACACCTCTGCCTAGCCGCTGTCCTATCTTCCGCCCCAGCTGGTGTGAGGGGACTTGCCGGCTTCCGCAGGGCACTGGAGGGGGTCAGCAATAGTGGTGTTTTCCATACGGATCCCAATTCGTCAGTCACGACTGACGTAACGTAGAACGTGACTGACTGAAAGGGAACATCTAGGTTACTTGTGTAACCCTCGTTCCCTGAAGGAGGGGACGGAGACGTTACGTTCCGTCGCCACAGTTGCTGTACCACCGCTGTACGGCCGGGGCACGTAGTCTCAGCTCCTCAGCGAAAAACTGATGTGCGTTTGCACACGCTCTCCTTTTATACCCGTGCTGCGGGGCGGGGTGCACGTGGCGAAACACGCACGCCAACTGTCATTGGCTTGTTTAGTTAACACACGAAGGTGATTGGGCTCTAGGGAGAGAGATCCCAATTCATCAGTCACGACTGATGTAACGTCTCCGTTCCCTCCTTCAGGGAACGAGGGTTACACAAGTAACCTAGACGTTCACCTCAGGTAAAAAAAACAAAACAAATTTTTTTTGAGAAACTGTAGCTGTAAATACAACAACGCTTGTGATTCACAGTCAATTGAACTTGGATTACTGCTTTAATTTTAGACATATGAACAGGACACTGTAACAGTCTCAAAATACTCTGTATGCAACTGCCAAAGGATATCACTCTGACCTTTAAAACATTTCACAAAGAATTTTCCTTCAAAAATCCGGTAGAAGCAGCAAGCCTGAATCTAAAAAAAATATTCTCTTAGGATCCACAAAAATAACCCCTAAAAGAACCATTTCTTCATTCTCCAAGTTGTACAAGGAAGGAAAAGGCACTGAATAGAAAACGTTTAGAGAAAAAGTGTGCTCTTACCATCCTGCTGCTTGAAACGATGAGAGATCAGGACATTTGTTGTTTTTTCAATACCCAAGTCAAGAAGTTCAATTGATTTTTTGCCATATTTGTGGATTCTGAAAACTTCATTTTTCAGTCCTGTTCCATAAATGTAATCCTCAAAAATGTCTATTCTGTATGGTTGTGATATTCCTGTGCAGGCATGAGGTGAGGCAAAGACATTAGACAAACTGAATATTCTAAAACAATTTCAATGGTTAACGATTTCAGGCATAAAAGATACAGGAACAAAGCAAAATACTATCAGATTCCCTTTTAACTGCTCTTCTCACCTTGCTTGCCATCGATTACCACCAATGGATCTGAGCCATCGAAATGGACACTGCCAATGACAGAGAGCTCGGCATCGGCCCAATACACACGCTGGCTGAAGTAATCAAACGCCAACCCTACAGATAAATGACGGGAAGAGAGTTATTTCCATAATAAGATCTTGGCACAGAATGTTAAGAAACATCACGTATTTAAACACTGACACATCTATGTTGGCAGGGTTTACATTACTAAAGCATTACACAAAAGCAACAGCTCACAATAAACCTATTCAGGAAAAGAGAATAGGTTATTAATAACCATAACTGTAATGTGTTTCTAGACATGTAAGACGAGTTTCATTCATCTAGGTCATGTGAGACTGTAGTAGGACTGCAAACAAATTTGAATAGCATCAAACTGGTATAAACAGAACCTTGCTGTTTGTCAATGTGGTGCTAAATTGAACTTTTTAAATAATTAAATAACCTTTAGGGAACCCTTGCTTCAAGGTGGACATATTCAGTACAAAAGCTTCAGATCTGTGTCCTTTTGCTCTTCCTGAAATAAACTCAGCAAAAGTTTGTCCCATATTTCTTGGAGTTAGCGTTGCTTGACTCATTATATTTCCTCTCTTGATTAAAGACTCGGATGTTGCATTTTTGTTCCTTTTCTAGAGATGATGGATTCCTAAAGCTGCACTGGAGGCGTAATATTGGCCCCTATAAAGGAGGCCATGGTTAAATGTAGTGGTACTTAGTGTTTCCCTGAGGAACACGCCTGCAGGTTTACCTAAAGGCATTGCATCTAAAACATTCCCTAAAACTCGGAAATGAGAAAAGTGCTGTGATATACCGAAACAGGATATGAGACCAACAAGCTTCTACATAAATGCATTCAGACCTTGACCTCATGCCCATCACACTGAAAAACACAAAAACATACCTGTGGGTCTCCTAAGGTTCTTGTCCAATAGCACTCTACGCATGGAGCCATCCATCGCACTCTCCTCTATGTGTGAGTGGTCGCCTATTACTGACCAATACATCATCCTGAAACAGGTCAAATCTTTACTTGACAGATGTGGCCATTAAAGGGATAGTTCACCCAAAAATGAACATTTGATGTATATCTGCTTACCCCCAGGGCATCCAAGATGTAGGTGACTTTGTTTCTTCAGTAGAACACAAACTGAGATTTTTAACTCCAGCCGTTGCAGTCTATCAGTCGTATAATGCATGGCAATGGTAACAAAATCTATGAGAGTAAAAAAACATGCACAGACAAATCCAAATTAAACCCTGCGGCTCGTGACGACACATTGATGTCCTAAGACACGAAACGATCAGTTTGTGCGAGAAACCGAACAGTATTTATATCATATTTTACCTCTGCTTTGAGCGCGCGCACGGCATCCGGTGCGTGAGGTGTGTATGCGCTCTGGTGTAGTTTACGTTAATGGTGTGTTGATATCCAGCAATTAACCATAACTTCAGGTGAGCAGGCTCAGAAGTTGGGAATACGTGGAAAGTCACCACTCCCGAATGAGTTCGCGCGAGAGAAAGTAATCTTTTAGTTTTAAGTTGGTTTGAACAATCCGGATAAGTGCAAGTAAGTACCATTTTGATTAGCCGTCATACCTACAATGACTGTGCACTGTGTAAACAATGAGTGACGTATACACGCGAGAGATCACTTCCGGCGCTTGCATAAACTACTCCAGAGTGCGTACACACCTCACGCACCGGATGCCTGCGCGTGCTCAAAGCAGTTGGACATTGTGGTGTTTTAGAGGTAAAATATGATATAAATACTGTTCGGTTTCTAGCACAAACCGATCGTTTCGTGTCTTAGGGCATCAATGTGTCGTCACGAGCCACAGGGTTTAATTTGGATTTGTCTGTGCATGTTTTTTTTACTCTCATAGATTTTGTTACCATTGCCATGCATTATACGACTGATAGACTGCAAAGGCTGGAGTTAAAAATCACCGTTTGTGTTCTACTGAAGAAACAAAGTCTTGGATGCCCTGGGGGTAAGCAGATAAACATCAAATTTTCATTTTTGGGTGAACTATCCCTTTAAGAATGCAAATTTTTTCTTGTACTGTAGGCTATATAAAAATTATTTCAGAAATTCAGAATCCTAAATATTTTTACATTTAATTAGATTTTAAATTTCATATTTTGAAACATGCTCCTACCCTTTGACTGGATTGACAGTAATGGCGTAAGGCTCTCCTGCAATGTCAGTTATCAGACGGGTGCAGTTGGGTCCCTTGAGTTGTCCCACATTAATAGAGTATCTAAGCTTGGTCCAGTGAGCTGTGTAATAACTGAACCAGTGCATCCTAGAGTGGTCTGTCCAGTAGATATTTCCAGTCACCCAGTCAGCTGATACATCTCTGGGTCTGCGAAAGTCTGGACACTGCAAAAGTCACCCGGATAACAAGGTGATTCCCATGTGGGCCAAGACATCACAGAATATTTAAGATTGTATGATAACATGTTTAGGAGAAAATGATTCATAAAAAGTGTGGTCAAAACTTCAGAGACCGTTCTTGGATTTAGGGATAAAACGTAGTTAAAGTTTGGAGAAAGATATTATTTTGTTTAAATATTTAATAAAAACAAACAAATCACAGAGAAGATCAACATAAAATATACTTCTTGTCTGAAATCGCTTGTTCATAAAATAGAAGTAAAATACAAAAATTATGGAGTTAGTATTGACTAATTTAAATTAAAGTGTACATACACAAACGTAGATTGAATGTTTTCAGTATTCTGCGGTCATTAAATGTACTGTATGCAGGTCAGAATTAATAAATTAATTAGGAAAAAAAATCCAGAAAATTCCTGAGAAAATATGATGATAGACTCCACACAAGACCCACAATACTTACTATGATGCCAACATTTGTTTTAGTTTGACTCCTGTTTAGGATATCTTTGTAAAAAAGTCCACCGGGATTAAACTGAGTAGCCCAGATAAACTTTTGTTGGTGATACAGAGCATCCATCCCAATGATGCGGGCATTTTCCTCGATGCGAGCATGTACTTTATGTCCATGGCTCTGGTTAAATGGATACACAAAACTTCGGATTTCAGTGTCATTAGCTATGTAGAGCACTCGATCTTCTGGTCCTGCCCGTTGAGTTATTAATATGCAAAAAAAATGAAAAGTGGCTAAATTCCATTTAGGGTTTAAGACAACAGTTTGACAATTACAGATGCATATAAATCATTCTAGCACAGCAATATGCATTCTAATCAATCAGTAATCTTTAATTCAAAGTCAGTACTTTAAAGGAAGACAATATACTGTATAGTTCTTAAAACATTCAGAAATATAAATGTACCACAGAATTACTACTTATGTTCGAAATGGCTTAAAATGTATATTTAGGCCCTGTGTGTTGAGGTAATGTATGAAAAGATCTACCAAGTCATTCACAGTCTAAAATAAAATCTCACAGTGAAGCTAAAGGTCAAGTCAATAGAAAATATAGATCCTTACCTTTTGCTATGCAGCTACCATTCATATCCTTATAATTTTTGTCACATGTACATTTGTATGATCCTTTTGTGTTGGTGCAATAGTGAGAGCAAGTGCCAAAATTAAGACACTCATTGATTTCTGCAAAAAAAGAGAAGAACAAAAGTCAGATTTCGAGGAATAGCGCTTTCTGGAAACTGTAATATTCACTATGTGGCTTTTTTCCCACATGCTGAGTGCTTGAAAATAAAACGTCTGATGTGGTCTGCTCACTGCATCTCATTGATCTTTATTCCCAGAAAAAAACATTATATGTGAGTGCACAATCCTTTAACTGGAAATGTTCTTTTATATGCAAAACATTTCAGTAGGTTAAGCATTTTCAGGAGCTTAAGCTCAACTTTGGCCTCCGATTTGGTCTTACCACACAGAGAGGAAAACACTGATCCTAGACAAATTTTTGATCCTTGAAAAAAATCTAGCTATTTCCAGCCAGCTGTAGACCAGTATACACAGACTTGATGAAAAGAACAGGCATTTTGAATCTCAAAAAATGTGTGGAAAACATTGAAATTATAAAATGACTGACAGGACAGGATTCATAGCAAAACCTTGCAACCAAATAGTGTACAATTTCTGCACCACTAGCAAGGAGAACTGACAAAATAATGACTGTTTTCAAACAAGTGTCAAACATTCCCCAATCTACCATGTTTGGACAAACAGGTCCAAACTTGGGTCATTGGTTTGGGCCAGTTTCAAAGATATCTGCCCTGGATTGATTTTTAGAAGACATATTTACATTTTTGACAGCATATAAAGTAGCTTATCCTGCTGTGTGTAATGTTTTTATGTGAAATAATTTAATTAAAATTAAGAAGAAATACATTCATTTAATAAATGCATTAAAATAAATCCTCAATCTTATTAATTACACACATACACTGTTACCAATACATTTAAACATCAACTCATATTTTATGTGCTAAAGCGCATAAGTAGGTCTAAAACAACATGATAACTATATCCCATTGATATATCAGATATATATAAAAATAGAGGAATTCTTGTCCCACCATTTTAATTTTCTAGGGAATTTCAAACATTAATTTCTAAACCTTGTTGAGCTAATGTTGTTCTGCACAAAGACAAAGACTGCAGTTCTGTTTGGTGCCACAGGTATGGCAGAAATGGCACATTTCACCTTTAAATTGAAAGTCTAAATCCACATTCCCCCCTCAGATAAAGCAGTGAATCATTTTTCTGAACGCTAACAGAATCAGGTAAGATAGTCTGACAGTACCTTCACACTTTCTGCTTCTGAGATTTCTCTGAAAGCCAGGTTTGCAGTGGCAAATTGCATTTGTGTTTGTATGATTGCACACTGCATCCTCCCCACATGGGTTCATCCTCTTTCCACATATGTCTCCATTTGAAGCTGGAATGAGAGAGAGAGAGAGAGAGAGAGAGAGAGAGAGAGAGAGAGAGAGAGAGGGGGCTTTGAAGTGACATACTTTATTTATACTTACACCCAACTGTCACAGTGCATGATGGAATTTGTTTTTGTATTTTGATGCTTGGTCATAGCCAACAAATAAAAAATGTATAAGAAAAAACTCATCTGGAAGATAAGCCTGAATGATATTGATATAACAATTCCAGACATACAACACGTTTCCATATAAACCACCAAGAATGCCTTTAATCTGACAATATTGCTTGTTTTGCGACAGATTAATCTGAGAGATTTGGTATTGCATGCAATTTAGTACACATACAAGCCTTGCAGTCCTGTTCATCTGATCCTCCATCTCCACAATCATCAAACAGGTCGCACTGCAGTTGTGCGGGTATACATTTACGATTATTACAGGTAAACTCTGCCTTCCCACAGGGCTTGGGCCTAGATGACACAGCCTCTGATTTGGGTCCCATAGAAAAGAAGAAAAGACACATCCATTTCAATCCAAACTCTAGGTAGCACCTTATTCATCACCACCCAAAGAGTCTTCAATCAAATTTACTGTGATCATGCGAGTGATTAATGAGCACTACGTATCCGAACGACCTCAGAAACTGCTAGCAAAACAATAAAATCGCTCAAATCTAGACTAGATGCTTTATTTGTCAATTAAAAAAACTTATGGCACAAAAGATGGATTTCCCATTGTGCTGGTGAGGATAAAGTTATCATCAGAGACTTGTGAATGAGCCTACCACATTCATCTTCATCTGAGTTGTCCCCACAGTTATCCACATTGTTACAGATCTGATCAAGCCGTAGACACACTCTGTCATCTCTGCAGCGATATGGCCTTGCTGGAGGACAAGGTAGTTTGGCTATAGAAATGAAAACAAAATGTTACAGTATACAGTATGTGCAGATTTTTCTGCTTTGTAATGCAATTGACTGCTTCATATACTGTATATTTATATATATACATATATATACTGTATGCATATACTGTATGTATGTATACATGTACTGTATATATATATATATATATATATATTTATATATATATATATATATAGTCAAAAATTTGGAAACATGATTTTTAAATGTTTTTAACGAAGTCTCTCACCAGCGTTCCATTTATTTGATAAAAAAACTGTAAAAACATTAATATTGTAAAATATTATTACAATTTAAAATAACCATTTTCTATGTGAATATATTTAAAATCTAATTTATTCATGTTATTCAAAGTTTAATTTTTAGCATCATTACTCCAGTCTTCAGTGTCACACAATCCTTTGGAAATCATTCTAAAATATAAATATTTTAGAACTATTTTGACAATTACCCTTATGTTGGAACCTGGAACCACTAGTATAAGTGATGCATTTAATTTGTAATTCAGCCAGTGACCCTTACATACAAACGGAGTTTAACATCAGAAAACTCAAATGAAAGAGTTTTGCCCAGCAACACAAGCCTTTCAATTCTGAATCAGAGTTCAGCAAGCAAGAAGCGCCACAGTAGGTCATGCAATTCCACTGGGAGAGATAAATATCCTACCGCACATCTCGGAGTCTTCATCAGAGTTGTCTCCGCAGTCATCCTCACCATCGCACACCCACACATGCAGCTTACAAAGGGTGTTGTTGCAGATGAACTCATCGGGGCGACAGAAGGAAGCATCTGAATAAACAACATCAAACTGGTTTTAAACTGCAACACATGGATATTTTGCTGAATTAAACAGGGTTATGACAACCTGAATGAACACATACATAGTAGAAGCTATGAAAACTGCTTCAGAAACAGTTATATTAATTCACTAATATAGTACCAATGTCATGTATCTATCAATATAAAAGATTCCTAAAGTTTTTAAGTACAGTTGCTGGTTAGTGGTTAGTCCTCATACCATGACCACAGTTCTCCTCATCGCTGTGATCCACACAATCGAACACGTCATCGCAGCGCCATCGTTTAGGGATGCAGTGAGCATGGTTTTTGCACAGAAACTCATCTTCTCTGCACTCCTTGACACAGTCCATCTGGTGTGAGAACAACAACGAAAGCCCAAAATACTTTCAAGAGGAAGACTTTGCTGCACTGGTGAAGTATAGAACATCTCTGTTTCCATGGATTCAAGCATGAGTCCAGTACACAAGATGTTCAAAAAGATATAATGTTTCAAATACGATGCATGTTTATCTCACAGTTAATTAAAAACAATATGCCATCATGTTATTGCTTGTGTGATGCACATATAATCAAATACGAGCTTCTGAACTCACATATGATATCTTGAACTAGTGATCTATGTAATGTATGTCTTTAGTTTTGCATCTTTTGATTACTGTATCTGATTAAATGAATAATTCCAGTGTGGAGTTCAAAATCCATCTGAAAACAGTTTCAGTCGTGGCTAGTTTAGCTGATTAATTAGCTATTGGTGCTAAGGTCAGTTTGTGAGACCATCACCTAGTTAAAGCTGGTAAGTAGGGAACCTATGAAATTATAATTTACTTTCTTAATACATATTCCTGGTATTATTGTGCACAATTTATCAGCGCATGTTATGCCAAAATTCTTCAGTGAAATTTAATAACTTGCTCTGCTGCTGATCTACTTTCCTTTTTAGCTCAATTCCTCTTTTTTTCGTGTTTCAATCAGAAATATTTCAGATTATGGATGCAGAATGGGTTTTGAATGTTTTTTCTTGTTGATTTTCAGCTTGAACTGACTGACCAGTTTGTCTACTTTTATCTGCTGTGATCTGTTTTTTTTTCCAGAGAGGTTTTATAGTGGCTAGTTGTATCCTTCTTAAATCTTTTCCCAATATATCTACTTGTACATGTCTTTGTTTTTGTTTCACGACTGCACTTGTGCACAGTTTCTGAGAGAGGGGCGCTTGATGTAAGGCGAGAAGGTCTTGCTAGAGGACTGACCTCATCAGAACTGTCCAGACAGTTGTCATGTCCATCACACCTCAGGCTGGCAGACACACAACCTCCGCTGGCGCACACATACTCATTTAGAGAGCAGGAAGGAAGCACTGCAAAACAGATAACGGGTAAAAATCCACCCTCACATACAGATACAAACACAACTGATGTGTATAGGAAGGGTGAGGTAAGATGTGTCAGTGGTTAAGCTGTGTCACCCATCTTAATCTAATATTTTTTTGCGCATCTATGTACATTTTCAGTATAGCAAGGAAAAGGATTTGTCAAAACCATTTTATCCAGGTCTAAACATATATATCAAACAAAATAAAGAATTGCAAACGTATTAAACATTCAAAAATTATTTGGCTAAAGGTTAGTCATAATTTTTTTTACATTTTTCTAAAATTGTAGCTGTAGAGTAAACAGCACCAGATTTCATAGCAACAAATAGTGAGCTTATATTCAAAATAGAAATACTATTATAAAATGTTAAAAACTGTTTTACTAACTTCAGATATTCTGATTAATGTGCAAAAAAAAAAAAAAGATTTCGGAATTGGAACGTGACACGTCTTCGTTCAAAAAGCAAAATGCACATACAATATTGAGGCATCTAAATAAGTTCTTAGGTTAAATTAAACTTTAATGAGTAAACACACTAGAGAGCTGACTAAGGCACTTGTGTTTATGCAACGTGATCTCATGATAATTCGTATGTATTTTACGTAAAATGTGGTTCTATAAAACGTACATTTACTTACTTGGCTTTGTTTGCATGTTCAGACCGATCGGTGTATGACATCAAACATGATAGCACAGAAATAGTGCAAAAACAGCCAATATGGTGTCTCCTGTGAGGAACAGACCCAAATCCAAGCCTTTTTTGACGATCTGCTTGCTTCTCCATCCCGAGCAGCCAGCGAGTCCAGTGACCGTGAGCAGCAAAGCCCGCACTGACTGACGCTCTCTTGCGTTCCTTCACGAGTTCACGGAGTGGATAGGGAAAATTATCTGGATGATATTTTCAGCGATTAAAAACATAAATTCTGCTCTGGATCACACAAACCTACTGTATTCCGCCAGAGAGGACTGTGGGTGCAACACATCATTTGGATTACTTTTAGTACTGCTTTTGACATTTTTGCAATAAATAAATGATTGTAATGTTAATTGCATTTATCTGTCTGTCATGTTTTTCTTATACTGTACATAAATGTTTAGGCTTATAGGTAGGAGTGGAATTAGCGACTATAAATATATTTTAATGCTATATTGTTATTAAAAGTTTTATTTTCCTGCGTATTTCGGTCATTTGCATTTTATATCCTTTATATATCGCTATAAAATGGGTAGGTTAAGGGTTCTAAAAATAAAAATTGCGTATTAATAAAATGATAAAAATGCATATTCGCTATAAAATGGGTAGGTTTAGGTTTGGGGGCAGGTTAAGGTGTCTAAAAATCTAAATCGCCTATTGATCAAATGATAAAAATGCATTGATATGAATATCTAAATGATATAAAAGATACGTAAATATTTGTACGTTTTTTAGCTAAAAATACGTAGCGATTTGTACGTTTTAATCGTTGAAATACGTTTAAATTGTACGTTTTAGCATGATTAAAAACATACAAAAGTGTACGTTTTGTGCTTGTAAATGTTGCGTATTAATACCTACGTATAAACATGAGACCAGGCTGGTTTATAATGCACAAAATTTCTGAAAGACAAAAAGTGAGCTACAGCATTTGAACTTATCAGACAATGTAATCATAAAACATTTAAAGCTGAAATTTTGTTTGCACACCATCTCCCATCCCAGGTTAATGTGCAGAGACAACCATAATTTATAGTTTTTATTAGACAAAAAGTGCAAACATATTTGGTTCTCACCAGCTATGACAAAATATTTGAGAATCTCAAGCATTGGTGCATTGGCGTGAGTTTGGAGCTGGAGTTTGAAGGGGAATGTTTAGGGAAATAATTGGAAAGGTATGAATGTTTGGTAATGTTAGTGGTGCAGAAATGATACACTTCAGCTCAAAAGACCCCCAAATCTGATAAAGTTACCTGTTCCGAGGCAATTTCTCTCATCTTCCCCTGTCTTACAGTCTTCCTGGCCATCGCACAACCATTTACGGGAGATGCAGAGATTGTTGTGGCATTGAAACTGATCCTCTGCACAGTGAGTCTCACAATCCTTCTGAAAATGCACAAAGCAAGGGGAAACGTACTACTGTGTCGTCTCAAACTTCAGTTTGTATCGTTTTTATTATTTTCGGGCTTGTCACTGTAATACTCTGGGAGGCAGTCAGGACAGAATTTTAAGGTTTGTAAATCACATTTGAAAAATATCCACTGTCTTTCATGACTTGCTGATGAAGCCATAAGAGTATGAAGACTAATGTTAAGATTAAACAGCTTTGAGATAAATGGCTCAAAGGGAATGTCTGGGAAAAGAAGACAACTGCTGTGATGTCCTCGAATGACATCTAGCATTCACTGACCTCATCTGAATTATCAGCACAGTCATAGTCACCATCGCAACGGAAGCGCGCTGAGATACAGTCCCCACTGATGCAGGCAAAATCCTTATGATTACAGGTCACTGGCTCTGCAAAGAGGAGAGCAGAATAAGACAGCTAAAGCGGCACAGCAACCCTGACTGTGCCCTGTGAAGCTGCCTGCATTGAAAACACTGAAGTAAACCTTTGCAGAGGACAGCAGTGAGGCAGCAAGAGCAAATCCAAAACTGCTAAAGTGGCCTCGCACTTGGACAAGAGTTGGCATTGTACCATCTGTTACCAAGGCTCTTGAAAGTTTGCCAAGAACTTAAAAGGAGCTATTTGCAGATTTGCTATTTGCAATAGCCTAATCAGCAATTAGAATGTCTAATAGGGCTGTTCTCAAAGAGAGTCCACAGGCTCTAATGGCTGGAAAAACATGTTGGGTGGTTCGAAAAACCTGTTAATTTAAACTGTTTGAAATTGGTTGTTGATTTAACAACATAATGTACGAAAAAGGGCCATTAAAGCAAAGGCATTTTGGACATTATACATGCTCGTTATTTACTCAGGCTCCTGTCATTTCAAACCCATATGCTTGTATTTTTAGACAATAATTTTAAAACTAAGAAAAAACAAATCTGCATATAGTTTTATTCACAAATTTGGAGTTTCTAAAAGAAGTCTGTTATGCTCACCAAGACTGCATTTATTTGATAAAAAATATAGTAAAAACAGCAACATTATGAAGTAAATGCAATTTAAAATTGTTATTTTTTTATTTTATTTATAAAATATTAAATTATTTGTTTTATGCTGACATTTCAGCAGGCATTACTTCAGTATTCAGTGTCACAAGATCCTTCAGAGATCATTATAATATGCTGATTTAGTGCTAAAATAATTTATTATTAATTCAATTCAATTTAAGTTTATTTGAATAGCGCTTTTTACGATACAAATCGTTGCAAAGCAACTTTACAGAAAATGTAGTTTCTACAATAGTGGTGACTGTCAGTTTATGTGCATATGGCAGAAATGTACGGAAAAATCAATTAAAGATGTAATCAAATATTATTATTATTATTAACAGTTGTGCTACTTGTTGCAGCAGGAAAGTGAAAGTGCAGGATGTGAATGCTACTTAATATTTTTTCTTCCAAAACTAAATAATTGGCTCTTTTTATTTGGCAAAACACCATTGTATCATAATAGTATCAACTTATTTTAAAAATAGATAGTCTTAATATTTATAAATGGTTCTAACAACATAATACAAAACATTTATACAGTTTTTTGTTAATTAAAATCAACTAAATTGTGAACATTTTGTCAATAAAAAAGCCAATTAAAAGATACACTTTTAAAGAGCAATTACATAGATCTCCTCCTCTCTATTTACCATGTGTTGCTATTTCTTCCCCCCCTTCTTGTTTTTGTCCTATTTGAAGTTTGACAGGCCATGATAACTACAAACAGTCATATGGAAAGAACATATGGGTTTGGAATACAAGTAAAAAATGACATGGCATAAAACACACATAAATAGTTGATCTTTCTCTTTGTCAAGGGAATCTTCTGATGAATCATTAATGAGGTTCAAAAGACTATGGCTCTGATCCAAAACTTAGTGAGCTGCACAACACAAACAGTAGGCAGCCTATTTAAGGCATGTTTCAAAAGGCACTTTTATCTTTACCCTTTTACCAGTTTTTATAATAAATAAAGATAATAAAATTTGATTAAATAGAAATAGAATAGATAGAGCTAGTGTTAGAGGGTCAAGTAATTATTATAATAGTTAAAAAGAAAACAAGTAGAACAGAAAAACAATAGAGAATAACGAATAACGCTAGTGTTAAAGGGTCATTTTTTATTATTTAATAAATAAAAAGAAAACAAGTAGATAAAATAGAAATAGAAAAGAGAGTTTTAGTGATAGAGGGCCAAGCGTAGATAGAAGAGACGTTTCTTGAATTCAGTAAATTCTAAATGAATTAACATATTCAATAAATTTGCCAATACTAATTTTCCTTCTGCTTTCTGAAGTCTGGTCAGAAATTATGAGATTAATTGCAATTAATTTAAATACTGAGGTAACATTTTATAGAAAAAAAGATTATTTGTAATAATTTTATTGAAGACTACATTAATGTATAAAAGTTTGGGGTTATTAAGATATATTGATTAACAGTGACACTTTCTTTGTTTAATAAATAAATAAACATGTTTCATATAAATGCTGTTATTTTGAACTTTATATTGATCAATGAATCACTGTTTCTACTAACATATTAAGCAGTACAACATTGATAATAAAGCTCAGGATGATTTCTAAAGGATCACTGAAGGCTGGAGTACTAGCTTTGCCATCACAGGAATACATTTTTAAAACATTTAAAAACATTAAAATAGAACAGTTATTTTAAATTGTAAAATTATTACTGTTTTTACTATATTTACTATATTTTGATCAAATAAATGTAGACTTCCTTCATTACGTCAACAAATCTTACCAACCCCACATTTTTAAACTTCTGTATTTTTTTTAAAAGTAAGAAAAAACTGCATATAATTTTGTGTTTATTAGAACATCATGTATTTAGCTTAGCTACATGCTAAAGGGAAGCTCTGCTGAAATCAACTGTGAGTGAAGTCTCCTGCATGCTTTGTTTGAGGAACGTTATTTATATGCAGCCTGGAGTTGCTGCCTAAGCAGAGTGTTCCAAATCTGTCATTTACGAGGTTACAATTCAATTAGGAATGAAGCTGCTTATAGAGACATTTATGTGAACCTCTACTGCATATTGCAATTTTTCAGTATAGATCAAATGATTGGTACTAATAAAATGAGGTACACAGCCTGTTTGTTCAATATAGAATACAGAAAGATACTCAAAGCAAAATATGCCAAGCGAACCCTCAGAAATTGTTTTGCCAGTGTATCGCCACTTTAAATGTCTGGAACACATAGTGAGACCACCGCTGATGTGCCACTGTCAAACTAAATCAGGCAGTCAGGCAACTAAACAGGCCCAGGGGAATTGTTACAAGCTACAGCTAATAAAAGCAGAGTGGTTCATGATTAAAGCTGGCCTCACTCCATCAGAGAGAGAAGACTGCGGGAGCATACAGAATTGACATTAGTCCCAATCAGGCTTTCAGACGGGTATGCGCGTGTGGCTGACCGAGGCTCTGATTTGTGAATAATAACTGCGGATCACTCACCACAATTGGCCTCGTCAGAGCCGTCAGCACAGTCTGGGTCTTCGTCGCACACCCAGAGCTTTGAGATGCAATGCATGGTGGCCTTGCACTGGAACTGGTCTGGAGAACATGTGCTCTCAGCTGGAACATTAGGGCAGACAGAAAATAGCAGGTTATTTATAAGGCCAGTGAAAAGTTATTGTAAGAGTTTGAGGAAAAAAAAAACATTTAAACCTTTTGGTACTTGTAAAGGTCATGCATATGATTCAATAAAGGAAGAATTTATGTGACCTCTTCACTTTCTTTATAATATGACAAGGTCTTCTGCAATTACCATCCAAGAATGGAGGAAATGACAGCCTAGAAGTGTTAGTCAAGGCTGGTCATAAAAAGGTCAAATGGGGAGTGATATATGGCATTTCTTCAGCTACAAGTAATTTGCAGGTTTTTTTTTTTTCTATGACTAAAAGATCTCGATTTATTTTTCTGTATGTTGTATGAAGGTCAAATTAAAATGCCTTGGATTTTTTTAAATGCCTAAATCATATACTTTTGCTACTTTTAAAATGTACTTTATGCATTGACTTTACTGTTTTACTGTCTCAGGCTTCATTAGAAACCCTCAAAAATATTAATATATTCATAAATAATAAATTACATTAGCCTCACAAACTCTAAAACACATGTAAAACATTTCAATGTTTATTGTATTAAACTATTTATGGCTTATATTGAGTTTTACACAAATGACCTCAGTTCCCTCATTTGTGACCTTGACCAACAATTTTTCAACAATTTCAAATTTGTGCTTTTGATAATCGGGCTGGCAAAAGTGTCACAGTGAAGTTATGCACACTTGAGACGAAATATGAAAATGGTGAAAACTCAAGGTAAAAGAAAATTCAAGTTGTTTTTTTAATCAGAGAACGGGATTTTCATTGTCTCTCAAGATGTATAAAATTAGGCTGAATAATACATTATTTTAAAACAATATTTAAATGTTTTTATTTTGGATTCATAAAATAAAATTAACCTCAGCGAGACAAAATGTCTGCCATCTTATATATATATATATATATATATATATATATATATATATATATATATATATATATTAAAAAAAACTTAATTTCCACCACAGTCATTTCCAAATGGGATGTGGTGAAAATGTCCATGACGGATCAGAAAAAAAATATGACGACAAAAAAAAAAAGTGCTTGTCTGTAGCATACTGTGCGGTAAAATTTAGTGTGAGTTTGAAAAATATAAAAAATGTACTTTCTAAAAGCTTATAGACATTTCCACTCCAGATGACTTTGTTTCTCAATGACAATTATTGCTACCATTCCCAGGAAAGGGCCTTTTCTTTCAGAATACCTAATAAGCACCTGGCTATCCTTTTAGCTCCCAAACCAGCCAACTTGTTTGGTGGGATAAAAGCCACATTTGAGATCTGTCAGTCTGGATCATTAAATTCACAGGGCAAAAATTTGGCAGAGTTCGAACAATTCTGTCACAACACCCTTTAGTTTACGAGAATTAGGCCCATTATTGTCAGTGGTTAATGGAGGGAGCAGAAAGTGTCATGGCGTAGCTTACGGCAGTCTGTCTCGTCCTCTCCATCCCCACAGTCGTCCTGTCCGTTGCAGCGAAGATTTAATGGTATACACTTCTGCTTTCGGGTGCACTTGAACTGGCCTGACAGACAGATGTATGTATCTGCAAATGGGGGGAGACATTACAGTGAGAAAAAACATTAGATTTTGACCATCAAGCTGGATCAATGCAACACGATCATCCATATTCCAGTTGAATTTGATTGCTTCAGAAAAGACGGGATGCAATAAGAATAAAACTGAGATGATTGCAGAAACAATATTATTTGTGTTAAAAGCACTAACGTCTTGAATCGTAAATCAGTGTTGTTCCAATACATCCCAGTTACGATAGTTAAATGACAAAACACCCTGTACTCTTTTCTAATACTTCTAAAGTGGATATCGATCGTTTGATAGCGGCAAGAGTCTGTATAATTGAGCATTCAGAGACTGAAGATTTGTTGCTGATGAAAATTCTAGGCAGATTTTTCTCGCTCGTTCTCACCACATGCTTCACAGGAACTGAATTCTAAAAGGGAGTCCTGAAAGCCTTGTACAGAGAGAAAAACCAATGGATCTGTCGATAAGAACATGGCATTTAAGAACAGCTTTCGTATGTATTATTCTGCTCACCACAGTTGGCCTCATCTGAGTTGTCCCCGCAGTCATTCTCTCCATCGCAGATGAAGGGAGGTAAGGCACAAAGGCCAGTGCCACACTGAAAACGCCCAGGCTGGCATTTGAATTCCGCTGCAAAAATGATGATTAACAGTGAACTCTGGAGGATTCAAAGCAATTTGCACATAGGTGTGTGTTTTTAAACCCCAGCTGCGTGAGGTTGCCTGAAATGGGCGAGTCAACCCACGTTCCATTATTTCTCTAAAAGCACTTCTACGATATTTAATGCCCCCTGCCCTTTAGCGAACAACAGAGGTTCCACCTATTAACAGCAGCTATTGGCAGCCTGTCATTTTCTGTTTGTATTGCTCAAGTAAATCACCAAGCCACAAAGTGAATCTAAAAACAAGCTCACTGGGAAACAAAAACGAAAGAGCGAAAGTTCCTCCTTTTGCGCGATTTAAAAGTCAGTCTACTGTGAAGCTGTGAACTAGTTCATCTTCATACTGTTTGTAACAGCACTGGCATGTGCTAATATCAGGGCCCATTTTATATTTCACTTGTTTGGAATATAACCACTGCATTTTGTTTTGCTACGCTGTATTGTGTGTGCATTCTGTCGTTGGCTGTGTAAAACAACGACTTTAAAGCTGCAATGTAATCGAAGTACCAACAATTTTTTTCTTCCATACTGTGATGCATATCTAAATGAAATAGATTATATAAAAAAAAAAGATCAAGGGTAAGGACTTGGTTTTGTCCATCGGTTGTTGATTGGATGACAGTGCAAGTGCTTCACTCGCATTTGTAATTAAAAACAGATGTGTGCAAACGGTCACACTTTATTTTAAGGTCCAATTCTTGCTATTAACAAATCATTACCTATGACTTTTGCCTCAAACTCCTAATTTTCTGCTTATTAATAGTTAGTAAGGTAGTTGTTAGGTTTAGGTATTGGGTAGGATTAGGGATATAGAATATGGTACTAATAAACAGCCAATATGTTACTAATAGGCATGGTAATAAGCAACTAGTTAATAGTGAGAATTGGTCCCTATACTAAAGTGTTACCATGCAAACTTGTGAATAAAAAAGTCCCCGTGGGAAAAATTCAGTTTTGTGAAATTGAAGTCATAAAAATTCTTAAATATCTTAAATGATCATTTTAAGAGGTCTTGCATTTGTGGATGGAAAAACAGATGTAGCGATTCAGCGTAATGTGATTACAAAACTTAAAATCTGTGATTTAATTAAATAAATGTGAGTGCCTCACATTCAAAGTAAATATGTGGCACTGTTGCGCATTCTACAGGTTCGCAGTTTCAGAGGAGTTTGCCATCAATAAACAGTTAAATTTTTTCCTTGGAAAAAATATGCATCAAATCAAAATGATTTTGCCGTCAATTGCAAGAAAGAGGCGGGGTTTATGTGGACAAAATGATTGAAGGAGTATATCACTAGTGAAATCTGTTATTTCACCACAAGATTGAGGTATGACATTCTGATTTGAAAGTCAAAATGTAAACGTAAAAAATAAAAAAAGTATGTAAATAAATTAATATATATATATATGCATGGATGACTTGTTCACAATAAGATCAATAAAAGCCTTTAAAAAACAGAATTTCCATTTCATGCTGACTTTAAGACCAAACAGAAGCTTCTGCCAAGCAGTTGTTTTGAATGAACGCACAAACGATAAACTGTAATCCAACATGGCTTGTGCTCATCTTCTAGTCTTGCCTTTCAGGAAATCAGAACATCACATAATGCAATTAATATTTATGTCACAAGTTAGAGCTCTGAGCAGCTTACAGGGAGCCATCTACCATGAAAAACAAAAGAAAAGCAAAGTTGTCTGGCACAAAACAGCATTTTTATAATCAGAGTTGTCACAAGGCTTTTCTATTAAACTTGTATGACAAAAACACAATGCTGTTGACGTTTCTTGAAAGATTCACTTTAAAGCCGGTCTCATATGAGTGTAACCGTAGCAACTAGGCATATAAAACAGAGTCATAGAGGCTGATGAGATTTATAATGTGCCCCACGCACTTTTTGAATTGTTCTTAAAACCCCTGGTTACGACACTGCATGAAAATTACAAACAGTTCCAAACAAAAACAACAGTGCAGGCAGTGTAGACTGGGTAACATTGGAAGCTAAGCACTCACGACAATCCGCAGGCTCATCAGACCCATCACCGCAGTCATCTACCGTATCGCATTTCCACCAGAATGGGATGCATTCATCCGTTCCACAGCGGAACTACAAAACAAGTCCACCACATCGAAAAAGGTCAATCAGTTATGGGTAACACAAACTGGAACAATCATTGCAGTTCCGACTAATGACATGGAATCATCATTTTGGCATACAGACCTGGCTGGCTGTGCAGTTGGACAGGCACGTCTTGTTATCGGCGGCCAAGTAGAAGTTAGTCGGGCAGGCGCATTTGTGACCTCCACCAGGAGAGAGTAAACACAAGTGGCTACAGCCTCCATTGGCCACTTGACACTGGTGTTTGGGGACTGGAAAAAGGGTGAAGAAATGACTTGTGATTAGGTAATATTCAAAGAATATTTATGCAGCCTTGCCATATTGTATAAAATCTAAAAAAGGTATGTGTCCATACAAAATATAATAATATAATATAATATAATATAATATAATATAATATAATATAATATAATATAATATAATATAATATAATATAATATAATAATATAATAATATACAGACTATATTCATACCATTAAAACAAAACAAACAAAAAAACTTTAATTTAGCAAGGACACATTGAATTGATTATAAGTGACAATAAAAACATTTATCATGTTATAAAAGATTATATATATATATCTTTTTTTATTTATATTTATCAGAATAGAATCCTGAAAAAAATATATCATGATTACCACAAAATGATTAAGCAGCACAACTGTTAACAACACAGAATATAATCAAATCAGCATATTAGAATTATTTCTGAAGGATATATTAAAATAGATCCTTAATATAAAAAAAATTAAAACAGAACAGTTTATTTTATATATTTTACAGTTAAAAAAAAATATTAACCCCAAATGTTTTATAATATAATATAATATAATATGATTATTAATTGATATACTTTACATTTTATTTATGAACCAAGTCTCTATAAATGGCAAGAGCTGTGTAGGGGTGAGTAAATAATGACAGCATTTTCATTTTTTTTTCATTTTCATACACAAATCAAGTGTAAAATTAATATAATATTTATTTAAAACAGTCTCTACCTTCAGGTTGGCGCAGTGGGTGGTAGACAATGACAGACTTAATGGCTTGCCATGAATTCAGGAGCTCGACAGCATTAGCACCGGTGGTCTTATGAGCTCGACGGAGAGATTTGGACTTCCCGTCAGTCCAATAAATGAAGTCCTCGAACAGCGTGAGCCCCATCACACCCTGGATGTGGTCGTGAGGAACTGAGGCAGAGAGTATCATACCACGTATCATAATTAAAGTTGCATTACTGCATTTTATAAGTGATTTACTCATCTTACAACTTTCAAATTTACTGTACTCTAGTCTAACTTTTGTGAATGTACTGTAAGTACAATGACAGATCTTATACTTTTTTGCATATTCCATGCACATATACACAAAAGATTGTGGCCTTGCATTATTATACTGTTGAAAGGCTTTATTGCGGTTTCTTTTATTCAATTGCTGCCTTGTTATAGTCCACTAATCCACTAATACATGAAAAAAAAACAACAACACACAATTACGACTCATTTTGTACCCCGTTGCCTCTGAGAACCGTCCATGTTGGCAAAAAAGATGTGATTATCATCAGCCCAGTAGATTCTCTTGTTTGTGTAGTCAATGGTCAGAGCTGAGGGGCTGTAGATTTCTTTGTTCACAATAATGCTCTGGCCTTGGCCGTCCATGCCAACTCGACCGACGTGAGGGTTTTCACAGCAGTCAATCCAGAACATATACCTGAGGAACAGAGAGTGACCCTCATTCATGAACTCTCATCACAGTTGTTTCAAGCAGAGATGAGCTATTCTCATTGTTCTGAAGGTTTATGCATTCCTTCTTTTTCTTGTGACAAAATGAAGTCTCCCTGGATTGATGGTGCTGAAGTAGAAAGGATACTGTGCAAATTTGAAAAGGAAGCATTTGTACCCGGTTTGAGCATCCAGAGCCAAGTCCGTTGGGTTCTTCAGGCCAGCGCTCACTAAGACAGTGGGGTATAAACCGTTGGATTTGGACACTTCCAGCGTCTTTCTCTCCACGTCGCACCAGTACAAGTTCTTCCCAATCCAGTCCACAGCAAGCGCACTTGGCACAGCTGTTCTGTGAACAATCTAATAAAGCAAATAAGTGGCATTCAGATCAGTCACTATAATCTTATCACATAATACTACTTTAATGAGCAAGTAGGATAATGGGAAAACAGGTCATTAAAGTAATAGTTCAGCCAAAAATGGAAAATTCTGTCATTATTTACTCAATTTCATGTTGTTCCAAACCAGTATGGGTTTCTTTTGTCAGCAGAACACAAAAGTTGAAATTGTGTAATCAAGGACTTTTTTTATGCAATTTCATTAAAGAGGACATTGTGCTTTCAAGCTTCAAAGCAAATCACCATAAAAGTAGTCGATATAATGCACCACACTGTATTTGTCCTCTGAAGTCAGCTTTGTTTGAGGAACAGGCTGAAATGTAATCATCTTGAGTCAGTGAGCTGGACTTGAGAGCCAGATCAATCATGAACGAATCATTCTGACCTTTATGAACTGGACAGTGATTCTCTGAAAAGATGCGAATCAAAAGAATGATTCATTAACAATGGATGACTTAATTTTGCTGAAATTGTGAAATGATTCATTCATGAATCAGAAAGATCTGGTTCTCAACCCTCACTCTCAATTCATTGCAAGTGCATAGAAAAGAGTGACCAGAACATTCTTCAAAATCCTCCTTTTGTGTTCAAAATCTTCGGAATGAAAGTGAATAAATAATTACAAAATATCAATTTCTGAATAAACCATTCCTTTAAATTAGTTATTCTATCTGATTGGTATAGTGCCTGAAGCTAATACTGCATAGCATGCTGATAAAACACAAACTTTGCTGTCCCAACATAGGCGGTCACTTCAAGACATGATAAGCTTTGAGATCTTCTCTATCATCATCATCAACTGACAGGGCGTATGTAGCCGTGCCAATTGACAAGACCGCCCCTTCAGCAGTAATTTCAGCAAAGCTGAGCTTGAAAAATTCTCTGAAATGTCAATGATTGAGGAACATTTCCCCAATCAGGAAAGTGCCTCCAGATGAGAGGATGAGGGGAAACATTAATATTCCGAGTGGGAAAGAAAGAGCTTCTGGTATTCTAGTGATCTAGTCAAGCTCTGATTTGTGTGGAAATGAAGGCTAACTCTTGAAAATGTCAACATTTGAATACATCACAAAATCACATGACGAATGATTCCCGGAATAGCTGCAATTTATATATGTGTATATGATATTCAAAATCATCTTTTAGACATTATTGAAAGGTTTTAGTTATGGCATGTGTCCTAAATGATGCCTACCAGCATAGACTTCAGTATTCACATAACATAGAGCCACCATATATACAGTAACTGACAGTTGCATGGAGTGGTTCAGCATGCTAACTAATAAGGCCGTATAGCATTTCAACTTTGGCCCATTATATATTAATAGACAAATTCCTTTATTGAATCACACCAAAGGCTTTGCCTGAGGCATCATGTCAAACATGCTCCAGTGCAGGAGTTACTCATTATATTACAGTGATCAAACCCATAATGCACTGTTCCCAGAATCCAAACATTTGTTGCTAGGGGCAGTCTTATAACTTGCTACTTGCTTCCGTTTATCAATTGTGCAAAATAATGCATCTGAAGTCTGTAAAAAAATGCTGATTATGTGGTAATGAAAATTCAGGCTACACCTTCAGCATTGAAAAACATCTGTAACTCTATACCCTATCATCTTGCCAAGAGTTTGCAATAAATGATTTGCAATAAACAATTATTATTTGTAGCGTCTCGACCAATCTGACACACTAATTTTAATTTGATTTAACAAATCAATTATTCATTAGGTTAACAAATCGTCAACAATTTAATGCAGTGCATCAGACTTGGGGAGAGTCTTGCAGGCAACATACAAACATACATGCTTATGTGCAGCAGTGACTCGAGCACATATCTGATCATTCAAAGGCAATAAACAGATTTAAATATTGCTTGCATTGTTCAAATATTGGCTTGTTTAGTTCAAAGCAGGGGTAAGTGATTCTAAAAATGTATTAATAAAAAATAGATTGGATGCTGCAGGTGAAAAGTCTGATGGGAGTAATTAAAATAATGAGGAATTTAGATTTTGTTGTAAGCAAGAGAAAACTATTTTCATCAATAAGGATACGATCGGTTGTCTTAAGTGAAAAGTATCAAATAGTCGGATGTGAGTTTTTTCTTCGTCTTCCAGGTTTAATTAATTGTGATTTAAGCAACAAAATTAATAAATATATAGTATGACTTTAATTTTAATCAGAAGCATCACTGTAACGTAATGGCATTCCTTACTGCTATTAAAGAAAAAGTTTCTTTTTTTGAAAAACATTTTGATAGAAAAAGTTTTGGTCATATTACACACATCTTAGTAAAAAAAGTGTTACCAGTAAGCAATCTGAGATGTGATAAGGCTAATTAAGTCAAATGAGTGTGTAGTGTGAAGAAATCTTAGATTTATGTGTCAGATGTAGCAGTGTCATTAAATAGTCTTATGAAATTGAGAAGCTGTTATTACATCTTGATCAGAAAAAAGTACAAAAGCTATTCCTGGAGCGGTACCCTTTCACCATCATTGCTTATTTACACAGAAAGGGTGCATTTAAGTACCTTAAATGTTCATATTAGTATCTAAAGTGTATATATTGGTACTTAAATGATAAATTTTTGTAAGGCAAGTCAGTTTTTTCATGTCTCTCCAGCATACTAGGACAAGAATGTACTGCGTCTCCATGTCAGTAAATAATGAATTAATAAATCATCAATTAAGTTGTTCTTCCGCAATGGAGCTGCATCATTATATCCCCAGCTAATGATGGGTAAAGGTCTCCTACCCAATCTAAACATATTGTACCAGCTTGCATTGTCTCCATTTCCAAAATCCTGAAGATTACACCCACGAATGCTAATGAATTTCAAATGGCTTTAGCTTGTGCTGAGCAGGGGTGATAAATCAGGAGGGGGCAACACTGTGTAATGAAGCCAAATGAGGCTCTTGGCCCCTGCAATGAAGCTAATGAGATGGGGAAAAGTGTTGCTCAGCAGGTACACGGCAGAGATGTGCATCTAAGCGCTAACCATGTGACCTAAATGAGTCCCTGAAATAATGCTAAAATGAGCATTTATATTTATTGCTGTATGACTACAGATGTCTAACATTCAGATGTTACCTTTAGACCTCTTCATGGCTTCCCTGTTGCTAACATGGCGTATAACGGTTAGTTCTGACCTATTACCATTGTTGTCGGTCTTTTGTGACCCATAACAATTATTAAGAGAAATAAGAAATCAGACACACCTTGAGGTCACTGCCATTAAGGCGAATTCTGTTTATCTTCCGGCCGCTGGGTCTGCTAGAGTCAATCCAGTAAATGAACTCCTTCTTGTAGTCAAAATCCAAGCTGATAATGTTGTTAAGGCCCTACGGAAGTGAGAAGGAAACACAACATAGAGGTAATAGAGGTGAATTAAGTAACTGCACAACAAATGTGACTCTTAGCGCAGTCAGTGTGATGTATTAGCTGGGTAAAGGCTGCAGTCAGCACACATAGATCAAGTATGCAGAACAAAAAAGAATGAGATGTTACGCCTTGTTCTGCTATTCAATTAGCTGGAGGGCTTAATTAGCCACTTCCGCGTATGCTTATCTCGACAGGATCTGGCAAGGATGTACTACAGACATGAAACATACAGAGAATACATTTCTTTTGATGTCTTTTCATCGTATTGATTTTGGAAGAGGACGCAGTGTGCTATTGGATGCATGTGGATGCTGGCTTCAGAATCCAGGGAAGCAGTTCAGAGAGCCTTCAGAGTGAACGCTGTGGGTACATTCGTTACTGTCATGTTCACGTCAGACTGCTGTCACTCAGTCTACTGCTAACTAGCCCCCCTGCCTTTGCCCACTTCACCACGGATGCTAAGATCAGGCGACGGGCATGATGACAGATGAAGAAAAGCTCTGATACCCCCATCAGATCATCGGCACTGTGAGACCCAAAACGACCTTTAGCCTTATCTTGTGGCAATAACCTGCAGCCTTATCTTAAGGCCACAAACAAGTTATGTTTCATGTGACATCAGTTTGAACGTCCAAGAGAGATCTATTAGAGGTCATGAGCATTTATAGTGAGGTAGTAAGGTTTAGAAGAAACACTATCTATAACTATCATATCTTGGGAAAATGGTCCATTTCTACCTGTAAAAAAACTGCCTTAATTAAACCTATTAAAAATGAATCACTTATTAATAGGAGTTACAGTGTTGGTTTTATCATAGTCTACACTAAACTGAGTTTAAGAACATTTCTTGATGTTTTTGAAAAAAAAGAGCCTCTTATGCTGACCAAGGCATTCGCCAAAAATAAAAAAAATTATAAATAAATGTGAAATATTATTACTTTGTGAAATATTTATTCCCGTGATGGCAAAACTGAATTTTTGTCAGCCATTATTCCAGCCTTCAGGTTTCAAATGCCTCCAAACAAACAAACAAGCAATCTATCTATCTATCTATCTATCTATCTATCTATCTATCTATCTATCTATCTATCTATCTATCTATCTATCTATCTATCTATCTATCTATCTATCTATCTATCTAATATTTTGGGGAAAACAATTATATATATAATATTTTTTCAGGCTTGACAATTCAAAATAACATCACTGATAAAAATAAATACAGAAATAAATACAAATCTTTTGTAACAATGTAAATCTCTTTACTGGAACTTTTGGTCAATTTAGCACAGTTTAAAAAACAAAACAAAACAAAACAAACTAACTCAAATGTTTTTTGGAAGGAAAAAGCACCATTACAAAACAAAAACAGCTGAAAAGGTGAAAAATATGTTAAATTACAACTACATTTGTTAGTTAACTAGCCAATAAAAAGTAATATGAACTGCACATTTGCAATAGTATATGCTATAAATCAATATAGCAATATTGTTGCAGTTTTTATCTTCTTGCTAGTCAGGATGCTGTCTATGATGTAATGCACTATTTTTCCCTAAGTGTTAGATGATAAATAATGAGCAGGATAATGTACAGTCAGCCAGTCATTACAGCAAAATAAACCCATTCAGGGTGATAAAAGTGGGCTTCTAATAACCAGGTGACTGCACATTTTCTCTTACTTATTGCACTGGCTATGCTTCAAAACTGAAGGGAAAGGCAATGCTTTAATTATGGATACTGTATGGCAGCTCGATAAATAGCTAACTAGCATTCCACAGAGCAAACGAGATCATGCACTATGCTATGGTGAGGTCAACAAAGACCTCCATTGTCGAGAAAAGGCCACAGGGGCCACTCATATTTAAAGTACAAAAGCCTTCCTTCACTCATATTAAACAAAATGGAATAAATGATATTGAATGATTGCTGATGAGACTACTTCATAAAGGGGAGAGTTTCCTGAGAGCCCTATAGACATTCCCCTGGATGACAGCCTCAATTGGTATGAATAATGTAATGAGCGCCGAATTGAGGAAACTCACATTTCACTAAGAATCATCATTTCGATGGTAATGACTATAGGCCTCTAATGACACCAGCTGTAGATAATGGCACAGGGAAACTCAGCTTGTTACACTAGGCCAATCAGAAATGGCAGTCACATATAAAGTCAAAATTACATTTCATAGAGCCATTCATAATGTGCGCCAGACTTGTTGTGTCAGACAAACTCTTGAATATGCAAAAGAAAAACAAACAAACAAACAAAACTTTTCATCTCTGTAAGCAAATTCTGCCTGTGGTGTAGAACCTTAAAATAAAAGGCTAAAATTTGTAATGGACTTTGGTCAACTGAAACGGATATTTTAATAGCCAAAGACCAGGCTGATGATCAATGTAATGCTGACATACTATATAGGAAATACTATTTTGTGATAGCTAAATAGATTGAAACAACTGCTGAAATAAAATGAACTTATTTTACACAATATTTAATCTTATCTTATCCTGCAGAATTTGCATTATTGTTCATTTTATATTTATAGCTGGTATTTGAACACTTTTTTTTGTTATTTAGAACTATTTTGGACTGTTTTCGTTTGTAAACGGTGGTTGATCAGCGTGTATTTTTCTCCTGATTCAGACAAGATGATGTTTTCACAAAAAACGTCTTAAAGGGGTCATATGATGTGATTTCAAGTTTTCCTTTCTCTTTGGAGTGTTACAAGCTGATTGTGCATAGATAAGATCCCTGAAGTTGCAAAGACTAAAGTCTCAAAACCAAAGAGATATTCTTTATCAAAGTTAAGCCTCTGCTCCGCCCCCCTAAAATGGCTCGTTCTAACATGCCCCCACATATCTACCTCACTATGTGGAAATATTAGCATAATGCCGCCCAAATGTGCACGCAAAGAAAGAAGGCGTGGTTTCAGTAACCTCAGTTAGTGTTGAAGCAGCCATGTCAGGGAGACGCTGTGTGTTTCTAGGCGAAAGCAAAAGCACTTTATTTGGCCTAATAAAGTTTGCTTTCTTAACAGAACAGCAATGCATTTTATGGACGACCGTTTCGTGAACCTAGGAGAGGAGGTAATTCTGACTTTGCTATGACAATCCGGCGCTTCTGAATCAGCTACTGTTTCGTTATTAGTTTAAGTATTTGCTATTGACTGTTCAAATGCGGAGTTTTGCGCATCGTGTGTGTGTGTGTGTGTGTGTGTGTGTGTGTGTGCGCGCGTGTGTGTGTGTGTGTGAGAGAGAGAGAGGGGGTGGGGGGTCACATTATCACAGTGGAGTCAGCTGTCTTAACCATGGCTTGTGTACTGCAAACACATACCAGCTTCATCACTGTGTCTGTCACGCGACTCTGTTCCCCTTTCAGGCTCTGTCTTTACATTTATTTTGAAAGATGAAGCTTGTGATTTTGTTAAGGGGTGTTACATTTCCAACGAGTGCTTGCGGGGTTCGGCCAATCACAATGCACTGGGGCAGCTGGCCAATCAGAGCAGACTGCGCTTGTCAGAAGGAGGGACTTTGTAGAAAATGAAGCGTTTGAGAGAGGCGGGGCCTAGCGGACCTACAATAATGTACAGTATTTGAAAAATAATGTGTTTTTTGAACATTAAAGCATGTCAACATATTCTGTTACACCAAATACACAAAATAATGATCTTTAAAAAAGCATCATATGACCCCTTTAATATTGAATTTGTTTCTTACAAACACACAGCTTTTGATTCACAAAACATTCATTGATGGACTGATCATGTGGTCAAGTTTACATTTAAACACATACCATAACATACACATAACACTACATGTTTGAACGTTTATAACCCATTGATAAGTCTGTAAGAATATGTATAATATTTAACATTAAAATGTTAATTTATTCATATCAATTGTTATAACCTCAAAATGAATTGGCTTTGCTGACATTAATTGATTTAACTGACATTAAATGCAAAATGTATACAGTACTCCTCACTTTCAAGACCAGCAACATAAGGAGTGTTTTTAATTCTTTCATGTGAAGCTCCACCAAGCCGGGACACTAGTTAATGACTTCAATTAGTGTTTTCAAAGGGCACAGGAGACAATAGACACAGTGTTGTTATCGCAGTCATGTCACCACAGCTTAATTGGTCATCTATTAGGCTTTTACAAACACAGCAGTTCTATCTTATGATCTGGTCTCTGAAGTCCAGTAACAATTTCATGAAGCAGTATAACAGTCTCACCTGGGCAGATTACATGGGCAGCCTTTCAATAAAGTGTGGTTTGAAACAATAAATGAGAGAACATAATTAGAAAACAGTTGAGCTTTACCTGTTTCAGAAGAGTGTAATTGGACCCATCAACACTTAATTTTCTGATTTCATGAAGATCAGCAAGTATAAGAAAGGGCTCTTCAGCTGTGAGAAATATAAAGGTGACTTGATGTGATGAAGACGGACAGTTGTCAAGTTAACAAAGCCTGAAACCATCAGGTTTAGTTGAAACACATTCTGGGGGGAATTCACTAAATTATATTTACCTGAAAGAGACTTGCAGCTGTTGGGGTCTTTTCTAGAAGCTTCATAGCCATCTACACAAAAACACTTAAAGGAACCGTAAGTGTTGGTGCAGTTCTGGCTGCAGGGTAGCGTGGTGGAGCATTCGTCAATGTCAACACATGTTCTCCCATCATTCTTCAGGTGAAATCCCGGCCAGCACTTACACTAGACACATTGGTGAAAAAATGATGGAGATGTTTTGATTTGAAACCAGGAAATTGCTAATAATAAAAAAATAAACCTCTCTGCTGACACCACTCTGCAAAATTCCACTTCATTTCAGTGCCATTTTACAAACTTATAGTGATAATACTCAAAAAAATGAAAATGGTGCCATCATTTGAGGTCATTCCAAATCTGTATCACTTAAAACACACAAAGAGATGTTCGGCAAAAACATTCACAGTGCTCTTTCCACACAAATCAAAGTGAATGGGGTTCACGTATTTCTGAGTCATCTGCTCCTTTGAAAAAAATAATAATAATAATTTGGTTTAAAAGTTGCACCAGAACAAAAGTGCTGACATTTTACTGATAACAATGAATTATAAACTTTTTAAATTTCCAAATCTGTAGCTCATTGAATTACTCGTGATATGTTCTTTGCTCAGTTGTAACCTGAAGGGCTTTTCTTAACATTCCTTCATTTATACCACAGTGAATGATGACCTACAGGATCGAACTCAACAGTACCTACAGTATTGGTAATGCCTTTATCGATTTTTAGGGTGACTGGTTAGAAATCTGCAGAGGAAAAACACTACCTCCAAGCACCTCTGATGATCACAGGTCAAGTGAACATGGCACTCATGACACCTAGTTTGCCAATCAGTAATACAGAAGTGTCTGTAACTCGAGAGAATTAGCTAAAAAATCTCCCTCCTTAAGGCACACCTCTAGACAGCTCCCGAAGGCACAAACCTTTGTTTAAACTTGATCTGAGCATGCCAATTAAGTACCAATGAAGCAAAACTGGGACAAATCATTCCTATAGCCTTTTACTTTATTCTTTATACAGTGGGTACGGAAAGTATTCAGACCCCCTTAAATTTTTCACTCTTTGTTATATTGCAGCCATTTGCTAAAATCATTTAAGTGAATTTTTTTTCCTCATTAATGTACACACAGCACCCCATATTGACAGAAAAACACAGAATTGTTGACATTTTTGCAGATTTATTAAAAAACAAAAACTGAAATATCACATGGTCCTAAGTAATACTTTCCGTACCCACTGTATGTTTGCCAAACTAATTCAGTGAAAAGTTGTTGCAGCAACAAAAACACAGTAGTTTCTGCAAAGAAATTCATCAGTAACATTTGTACAAATCTTCAGTCACATGAAAAAAGACATGTATGTTTGTGTGTGTGTATTTGTGTGTGTATATCTATATCTATATCTATATCTATATCTATATATATTGTATTATATAATTAATATAATATAATATAATACAATATAATAATATATATTTGTATATTTATATCTTTTTTCCCCAAGGAAGATTTTCTGTTTTAAAACAGAACAAAATTGAAAAAAATATAACAACTTGCTATCATTTGCAATATGGAAACTACCTCACAAATAAAAATGGTCAAAGACTTAAAAATCTTTCTTGCCCTTTCCATATAACATATCTGTGCACAAGAAATACAAGTGTATTTCTGCAGAAGACTTAATAATACTGTAAATCAAATAAAAATAAAAATTTTAATTTAAATTTAAAATAAAAATTTGTAATCGTCTTATAAACATACTTTTAATATAATTAATATAATCAAATGCCAAAATAAATAAATACCAAACTGCAGTTAACTGCGATAATTGATGCTGTACAAATGCCTTGTGAGGAAATGCATTAATTAATTTGTGATATGGAATGGCTAATGAAATTACATTCTCTGCATCAAAAGTTAAGTTATTCTGTAAATGTTCAAGCTAAACAAATCTTGCAGTTTATAAAACATGATTATATTCTGAAAGACAAATCAACTTATGAATGTCGTGTAAGTGTTATGAGACGCAAGCTTTGGCTGGATAACAATTTTTTGTCACTTCCGGTAAAAAAAGAATTGGCCTTGAGGGACACAATACACTTAAATATGTAACAACACTAAGCACAGCAACTTGTTGCATATGTCAAGCATATGACCTTTAACAAAGGAGGATAACACACACACACATAAATACATACTGTATATATGAAGTGCCGATTTAGGACAAGATTTAATACAATACCCAATCTTACATAAATTTATAATAAAATGCATTACAATCTAATTCATAAACCTCACAAACCTTGTATCCCACTGGTAAGTCCTGGCAATCCTGTGTACAGCCGCTGACACGACGGTTGAGACATTCATTGACATTGCAGTTTTTCTCATCTGAGCGATCTCCACAGTCATCTTTCAGGTCACATAAACTCTTCTCAGATATACAGCGGCCATTTGAGCACATGAAAAAGGAACTGTTGCATAAGCTCTCTAGAAATAAATGAGGAAAGTGCAAATAAAGGAAACAAATTAAGGAAAAGTACAAAGCATTACAATAAATACAGACTAATAATGTTGAAAACCAAACTGAGAATGCAAAAATGCTTTTGGATAAAGCATGAATGGTTGGATGGCTTTAACTCTGCAAAGCTAGAGGGCATAAAAGTTGCAATCCAACAAAAGCCAAATGTTATTTCAAGCTTCCTGCAACTGCCAGTAAGTGCAAGGCTTTTTTAAAATAAATGCTTGGTACGCTAAGCTGAAAACATGCCATCCCCGCAGCTCAAAGTTATCCACTTCAGCCTCCTGCTTTTATCCATGATGTCCCTTGGCCACTTGTATTCCCTCAGATGTTCAGTAAGCCCCACATTCATCAGTCAAACATATTTCAGGCACAGCTCTGTTGGGCCATTACCCGCAGCCAGGCATTTGAGGTTGAGGGGCAGCTCATCAGAGTGGTCAGGGCAGTCTGGGTAACCATCACACTCCCACTGGGCACTGAGAAGGCATCGGCCATCAGCACAGCGGAACTCATCTGGCCCACATGAGTGGTACACTGCGTAAAGAGTGAAGACTATCAACATAGTGACACACTTCACTACCAAGCAGAGATCTTAAAGGGATAGCTCACACAAAAATACTCAACTAAATTTCTGTCAGTATTCATTTTAAAACGAGTTTGATTACTTTTTCGTCTGTGGGACACAAAAGCAGATTTTTAGTGGAATGTCCAAGCTGCTCTTGTTACAATTAAAGTGTTCAGCGATTTATACTGTCAGGCCCCAAAAAGGACAAAAAATCACCACAAAACTACTATAAAATGTTGTCCACTTGACTTGAGAAATCCAGACATTCGGAAAAAATACATTTCAATTTATGAAATGAAAGAAAGAAAGAAAGAAGACACATGTAATATCCAAAATAATATTAAATGACATAAGGTGTTAGTAAATTATGACAGAATGTTTTTTTTGGATGAACTATGTGAACCTTGAAGATGAATATGAAACAACAAAGGTATGTGATGTTACTTTTCAATAAAATTATGTGCAGATTTCTTGGGTTAGACTTTCTAAGAACTAATGAGAACTCTCTTTGAATCTTCTTTTTGCTATGAATCATTTCCTAGGCTTTTTATTTCATATTTTAACTTCTGTTCAATAAGTTCTAGTGCAGTTCTAGTCTGCTGTATGAACAGGGGTGATGTCCTGTGGAGAGGCTGTCCTTTCATGTTGAGAAGTCCAGGGCCCAAGTTCTCCATCAAAAAGCCCATAGATGTTTCAGCTTTAAGTAAAACATAGTTCTAAAACATTTTTTAGAAAACCCCAATAATTGAAGTACTTCTTAATTAAGAATGTATAGTACAAATAATACGACCACAGAGAAGCCTAGGGCTCACAGTAGAGCTTTAATTAACTGAGAAATGCCTCACTTTTTCCATTAAAATACTGCACATTTTTACTATTTCAATGTTGATTTTTGTGGTATTCAGTTTACTTTATAAATAAAATTAGCTTTAGCAAATTCCTTAAGGGAAAAGCAGGTATCTATAGTGACCAAAGGTAGAAAAAATGCATTTCTCAACAGCTCTGCTTCTCGGTCTGTTGCTTATTCAAAGCCTACCCATAGGAAAGAAAATTCAAGAGTGAGATCTCTTTAACATCTCAAATATTTCTCCTAGACAGAAATGAGGTTACTTTAAGATCGAATGGAGATTTTTGCTTGAGTCTCCTGCTTCTCAAACTTGTCTCCTGAGACAAAAACTCTAACAATCTCACAATGGTCTCCTTTAAAGCTTTAGAAGACATCTCAACAGCATCACACACTGTGCTCAGATTTTTCTCCTTAGCTAGAGACTCTGGATCTCTCACATTTCATTTGTCTCCTCAAAAGTTTAGATTAGAGATCTCAACAACATCACAAACTGTGCTTAGATTTTTCTCTTTAGCTAAATAATCTGGGGTTCTCATATTTGTCTCCTGTAATGCTTTAGAAGAGATCTCAACAACTTTACAAAGTGTGCATCAAGTACTTGAAAGGCACTAAATAAAGGGGGGGATCCTAAATTCAGAGTTAAAAGCTATATTGAGAGAGAAATTATGCAGAAATAAGGATAATGTTACTTTTTATAGGTCAATGTTTATGTACTTAGGCTCATAATTTGTTGTTGGAAATAGTAATGTAGTGGATGCCTTAATCAAAACTGATTTACAGAAAATGCTACCCTGGAGCTTTCTTTGCTTAAAGGCACATAAATGGCTTATGACTCAGTCTTGATTATTAATTGATTAATTTGATTATTAATTATATTATATGGAGGAAATGTTTGAGGTCATATTGAGGCATTTGACTTGGTGCACACTTTGTAAAGTTATTGAGATCACTTCTGAAATTTAGAGGAGACAAATGCGAGAGCTCCCGAGTCTTTAGTGTAGGAGAAAAATCTGAACACATTGTGTAATGTTGTTGAGATCTCTTCTAAACTTTTGAGATAAATTTGAGAGATCCAGAGTCTCTAGCTAAGGAGAAATATCTGAGCACAGTGTGTGATGTTGTTGAGACCTCTTCTAAACTTTTGAGGAGACAAATATGAGAGATCCAGAGTCTCTAAGGAGAAATATTTGAGCACAATGTGTAAAGTTATTGAGATCTCTTCTAAAGCTTTAAAAGAGACCATTGTGAGAGTTTTTGTCTCAGGAGACACTTTTGAGAAGCAGGAGACTCAAGCAAAAGTTTCCATTCAATCTTAAGGTAACCTCATGTTAGAAAACACTCTCTGTCTTGAGAATGCCTCACCCCTCCTTTTTCTCCCCTCTCTCTTATCACCCCTCCTTTCCTTTTTCTCCCTCTCACTCTCCCTCCTCTCAGTATTCTTGGCCAGGAAGTCTATTCCTAATATGGACATGTTTTTCTGTATATGTGGCGATTTTATACAAAACACATGTTCTTGGACAAAACATCCTGTATGGGTATGTCACCCTATCCTCATTGGTTAAGAGGGTGAAACTCCCCTCGACATGCCTATATAAGATCTGTATTTCTATGAATAAATTGAAGTATTTGAGAATACATATGAATGTGTGTTTTCTTACTTCCCGGCCGTATTTACACTTTAATGAGACTGAGAAGATTTCACGGTGGCAAAAAGAGATATCGAGGGACCAAATTGTTATTTATTAACACCTCATTTCTGTCTAGGATAAATATTTGAAATGGTAAAGAGATCTCTTTTTTATATTATTTTATTTTTCTTCCCTCTGGTTAGCGTCAGTGTCATTTATCTACACCATTTCAATCAAAGACAATACATGCATTGTCATATTTGTAGCGTCTGCGTAGGATCATGCATGATAGTTGGACTGTTTATGGCTTAAAAGACCCCTTTTAGCCTTTTGACATTTGCATATAAATTACAGTTCTGGTCAGGAACTTTACGTTCGTATAAGGGGTGTAAATTGCCAAATGGTTCTTCGCCGTCAAGTAAGATTAGAACCAGCCCCACGAGCATCCTGCAATCTGATTTCAAACACATTCCACAAAAAGCTGTAGATGGCCAAACGAACACACACACACACACACCCAAACTAACACACACACACACATAAAGACATTTCTTTATTTTAGACTATAATTAATCAGTTATAATTGTATCTGGTATATGCATGTGGTGTGTACATTCCCTTGTTAGATTAGATGAGTTACCACTCGTTATTTGTATTAGTTAAAGCCATAAAACACTTATATTCAGGTGTATGTATGTATCTTTCGTTTAATCTATTCCAAATGGTTGCTTCTTGGTATCAATGTTACCTGTTTTTCATTCCTCGGACAATGACGTACAGTATGTGATTGTGAAACGCATCATATGACTGGTACGATATTTTGGGTTAAAACTACGGATATTCCAGACCGGCCATAAAGCATGCAAATGAGCCATAAAACAAGAGACAAAGAAAGATTCTCCCGCTCAAAATCCATGTCTCTCATTGGCCAGCACACACAGAATAGAAATTCTCAAAAGCGATCAGCCCAAAATAACTTTGCTCAGAAAACTTCTTCTTCGTTTGAGACAACACCTTTCAGGACTCTCAAGACCTTCCTCTTGAGTTTTATTTTCCGGCAGTTTTTACTTTCAAGTAACGTTAGTCCCTGTAGACTTCTTCTTCAGAAGAACCAGAAGTAAAAACTTCCAGCTGACTCCTCACGAACTCATCAAAAGACCTCCGTTATCTACCGCATCAGGACTCTTTTTCAGCAATCGAAAACCAATGCAAGTAACCGCTTAAAATTATTCAGATGCGTGTTTAAATCTCAGTCCCTTTTAAGGTGATTATTGGATTCTTTGATGATTTTTCAGAGGTTGTGGTTAAGTGATGTGAAATACTGCCATTCTTTTCTATTCTCTATCTTTTCCTTACTTTGTTTCATTCTGTGTATATATGTTTTAGTTAGTTATATGTTAGATATAGTTTCATTTTATTAAATCCCTTATATTCACAACGCATTGTCTCTGTTTACTGTTCACAGTTCCAAGTCAATGAATGTTTGAACCCTTGCTACATTTGGCTAAGAATTACTGCTAGCACTGTACAAAGAAGGACAGTTTATTGTTCCGTGGCCAGAAAATAAATATTCCTTGAATTGATAAATGATTATATTGTCTGCTCGGTGGACGGACAGATCAAATAATTGTAATATTGATTCTGCTACAGTTAATTCAAAGATATAATCTAAATATTTATTATGAATCATAACCAGTTATAATTCGTCATAAATATTCCCCTTTTTAGAGCTAATAAATAATAATAAACGTTACATATTTAAAGTTGTTTTATGTACACTGTGGTTTATTGCACAGTGATATTACATACATGCAGAAATGGGCTGTACAAGACAAAATTTTAATACTAAAAGCAAAAAAACTGGTACACTAGTGTTACATTTGTTAAAAAAAGGTATTGCTCTTATACTAAACATCTTGCACTTGTAAGTCCTTTCTAGTGTGTTTGGAAAATGTGGTGTATACAATGCTGGACATTGAAGATGCATTTAAACATTAAACTAGTAACGCTTGATATTCTGATATTCTAAGGGTTCTGAGACACTGTTGAGACTAAAATGAGAAATACATGATAATCACAACTAAGTCTCCCGAGGTTAGAAAGAGCAACCACTGAGCAATAAAATATTCCTATAATGGAGTCTTTATATAGATTGCAGCAAGACAATAAAGAGATATTCTATGTTTCTTCCACCACATTCTCTGGCTTGAATCTTTTTTCTCAAATATTTCTCATGTCTCATTTGTGTCTACTTCCATTTCCCCTAAGGAATTTTAGGAGCAACATCTGAAATGCTGTTGATACTAAAATGAGAGATTTATGAGAATCTCATCTAAGTCTCCTGAGCTTAGGAATAGCAACCACTGAGCAGTAAATTTTTCCTATGGGTAAGTCTGAAAATACACGTTTGGAATATAGAAAAAGCAAATGAATATTACTCATTCAGACAGATTTCAAGAAAAGTTGCTTACCACATTCAACCGATTCATCCGAGCCATCTCTGCAGTCGTCATCATGGTCACAAACAAAGCGTTTTGGAATGCAGCCTTTGTTAAAGCATCTGAAGGAATTCTCATCACATGTGTTATTTGGAGCTGCAGGGTAAACATCAGGACCTTGAGCTTAATTAATTCTCACTAAGACTTATTTCACCTTGGGGTACTAGTCATATCTGCCAAATCCATCTCTACCATAGCCTGCAGTCTAACATGTTACAAAACGCATCACTAATGAAGTGCCTGTGGTTAAGAATATCTTATTCTTTGGATGTCATTGAGTTTTTAAAGCCTGACCTGAGCACGTATCAAATAGGCAATTATAATGAATGGCCGATATCGCTGCTAGAACAACACCTAAAGGGAGCTTTCATCGATAACACATCGACATGCAGAAGACATTTTAAACAGATCAATGGGAATATTTACCACAGCCGGCCGCTGCGAGCTCATCGCTGCCATCGGGACAGTCTCTCTCCCCGTCACACAACCAGCGCTTGGGGACGCATGCGTACGAGCCTGGACAACTGAATAACCCTGGGGCGCAGGTCACCGAGCCTGGAGAATATTTTGTTAGTAATGCACCATTAAATGTTGCTCAGGTCTATTGATTATAAATCACAGCCTACTTGAATATCTAGAGCAGGGGTAGGCAAGTTCGGTCCTAGAGAGTCCTGCAGAGTTCAGCTCCAACCCTAATCAAACACACCTGAACAAGCTAATCAATGTCTTTAGGATTACTAAGGCTATAGGCAGGTGAGGTTTTTTTTCAGGGATGGAGCTGAACTCTGCAGGACTGCGGCTCTCTAGGACTGAACTTGCCTACCCCTGATCTAGAGGAATCACACAGTCAATTGTGAAAGCTTTTTAACAAATGCACAGCATATATTTGGATGTTCTGTGTTGCTTATCAAGTTCTAAAAAGCGTTTATTGTGTTTAATTGCGTTATTAGGAACACAGCAATATTATTTATATCTTACTGACATTTCATTACAATCCAAATTAAACGTTGTTTACTACAAATACTTACTAATATAATAAACCATGATTGCATTTTCATAATTGCCCAATTTATAATAGTTGCATTGTATTTAGCCCATGTATAAACTCAACTCATTCAAAACGCTGCCTTTGAGGCACAAAAAAACAATAGTTACAGTCGCAAATAATGGAAGAAGAGGTCATATGTGTACCGCAGAGATCCACGCTCTCGTCCACCCCGTCGCCACAGTCGTCTTCACCATCACAGAGCCACTGCTTCGCTATGCACTTGTTTTTCGAACAAGCAAACTGGTTCCATAGACAGGAGGAGTCTATCAACAAAGGAGTTTGAGAGCCACAAATAACAGTGCTTAGAAAAATTACATCCACAATTTAGAACTTATCTCTAGCCGAATTCTTTTAGAGATTTATTTCTAAATTCAGCAGACTTGGCTGTAGACCTCTGGATTACACTTATATTACTTGTGCTCTCTAAAAACCTCTCGCCATAAATACGTCAGTCTTTGTTAGAGTGTTTTTTTTACACAAAGATGCAATAAAGCAGAATAATTGTGTTTTCTGCATCTTTGTTGTGTAATCACACTTTTATCCTGTCATTCATCTCAAATATATAGAACTAGCAGACACATCTATCTCTGTTCTTTGTGTTGAGCAACAGCTTTACCCTATGAAAATGATTTTTTTATTGCTTTCATTCAGCTCTGATATGTCTACATGCTAGTGCACTCCTAAAAGTTGACAAAATAATATGTCAGCTCATATATGGATTTAAAATGTACATAATTGATGTTGTGGCAAAAGGGACAAATAAATTGGCGTAATCTATTTTAAAAATCTATTTCAAATAAATACTGGCCTTTGAAATTTTCCATTCATCAAAGAATTCTGAAAAAAGTCAATTGTATCACCATTTCCACATTATATGAAGAAGCACAGCTATTTTCACCTGCTTTTGGGAAAGAAATGTTTCTTGAAAACCAGATCAGCATTAGGATGATTTCTGAAGGATAATGTGACACTGAACACTGGAGTAAAAGCTGCTGAAAATTCAGCTTTGCCATCACAGGAAAAAACTTAATTTTAAAATTAAGTCACTTTAAATTGTAATAACATTTTACAATATTACTTCCTACACTGTATTTTTGATCATATAAATGCAGCCTTGGTGAGCATAATAGACTATTTTCAAAAAAATCATCAACTTACAAAAACTTAACAACCTTAAACTTTTGAATAGTACTGTACCTCAACAGACATGCCTAAAATAATCAAGAAATCTCACAGATCTGATGGAATATAATTATACGTCAACATAATTATACACTAAAACATGCCCATGCATGTGCAAATTGCGATAGCAGGGCAGTTCATATCTAAGCCAAGTTTTTTTCCCTTTCAGTTCTATTCTAGACAGACTCTGCCTGCCAGAAGAGTTAGAGTGGTCCACTCCTGGGGTTAGAGCATGGAGAATGAAATTATGGGTCGCAGCAGGAAAGATTGGTCTCAAATTCCCATGATTCTCCTCGACTGTCTGATGCTCTCTTGCTATATCTGCAGATATCCTATCTCCATTCACAGTGCTGACGGTGAGCAAAGACGTCATGTCATCTTAAGGAGAAAAACACCCTTTCAATTCTAAAAAAGGAGCATGTCCGCATTAGATGTGGAGCATAGGTTGTTTAAAAAAAAAAGTAATTCACTAATTCATGCATTTATTCAAAAATAAATAAATAAATGCATACATACATAATCAATAAATAACTAAAACTCATTTATAAATGTATTATATATAATCTATCTGAATTTCATACAACCGTTTGGTGAACTGAAAATGCTTTGAGGGATCCTGTTATATACTGTACATACACATAAGCCTCCAAGGGCACAGGTACACATGGGGATTGGTTTTTATCACCAGAAAATGCTTCTCTTGACCTCAGTATTAGCAGCTGAATTGGTTTCTGCATTCAAAGCTCATCTCAAGAGGTGGGCTGTAATCTCTCGCTCCACATGAGAAATCAAGCTGAATGAAAGCAATGGGAGGCTAATACCAGTCATGCTTACCACACTGGAACTCATCTGCACCATCTTCACAATCCTTCTGCCCATCACAAAGCCACACGCTGGAGATGCAGTTCCCGCTGGGGCAGGCGAAGTGGCCTTCTGCACATTTCTGCCCGTGGGAGACTGCGGCAGTCAGAGAAAATACGTGTTTGATTATGGAGAGCGTAAATAAGTCCACGATTTGCTTAGTGTAGTGAGAATTTGGTCCGGCGGTTGTTTTGGGTCATTATTCCCTCCCTAAAATCGCTCCCAGGCAGATGAAATCTTTATGTGATGCAATTCTCTATGGGACTATAAGGGTGTAAAAGTGCACTTGCCTCATTAAAAGTACATCTCCATTCAGACAGGTCTTCTCCGATAAATTCCACATTTGCTTTCTATTTGAAACCGCTGACACGCTAATGAGTAATAAGCTGAAACCTGCCAAGACTAATTTTCAGGCCACCTTTTCATCAGTGGTTTTGAAGGGACTGCAGTTTGCAGGAGTGTTTAAATGTCTGCTCTTCGCAAGTCTGACAATCACCAATAATTATTCATCAGCCTTCCGCACCTTTTGAGGCTCTTCAAGCATGGAGAAAAATACAGGGGCTTGTCTCTGCTTCATTACCTCTTTCATAAATAGTGTTTCGACAAAATTAATTTGATTTTAATGGAACCTGGCTTCCTCAAGCTGCAAAGCTAACAAACGGAGAGTTATAGTGAGCGTTACCCTGACAGTTCCTCTCGTCTGCATAATCTCCGCAGTCATTGGCTCCATCGCACAGCCACGAATGGTGAACGCACAGTGAGGTGCTGTTACAACTGACAAAGACCTTTTCTGCAACTCCCATCCTGTAAAAGTCTGCACAATCTGTGTGATCTGAAAAAAAGGGAGAAGACTTTGTGATCTAGGTCACAAGAGATGACAAAACAGACGACGCAAGTGATTCCAAGCTGTATGATCATTCATGTAGACACACACACACACTCCATAATCAAAATGAAAACAACAGTTCACCCAAATATGACTTCTGTCCATACGACTCTCAAAAGATGATTTTCTTAATAATATCCAAGCTACTCTTTGCAATGTAATGAAAGTGAATAGAGTGGTGGTCTCCAAAATTACAAAAAAAGCACCATTACAGTAATAAAGTATCATACAACTACACTATTCAGAAAGGGTACATTAAATAGATCAAAAGTAATAGTAAACACATTTATAATGTTACAAATGATTTCTATTTCAAATAAATTATGTACTTTTTTATTCATCAAAGAATCCCGAAAAAGAAGTATCACAGTTTCCACAACAATATTAGGTAGCACACGTGTTTTCAACATTGATAATAATAATAATAATAATAATAATAATAATAAGTGTTTCTTGAGCACTAAATCAATATATAAGGATGATTTCTGAAGAACCATGTGATACTACAAGACTGTAGTAATAGCTGCTGAAAATTTGTCTTTGCATAAATTGTAATGACACTTCATAATATTATAAAAAAAATTTTGGACCAAATAAATTTAGACTTAGTAAACATAAAAGGTTTCTTTCAAAAAAAATCATACTGATCCCAAACTTTTGAAGGGCAATATATAAGTCGGCTGAAGCCATATGATAACTTTTTGTGAAAAACAGACTGAAATTAGTTTGGTCGAAAATATTGTTCTCCTCCAAAGCCCCAAAATGGACTTCAGAAGTCATGCAGGCTACAAAAACATCAATACCAAATGCCATTGGCTCTGTCATTGATGTCAATGCTGCCATTTGATTAGAAAGTTCCAGCAGTTTTGACTAATTAATTTAGACTAAAAATTCACTACACGTGACTAAAATAATGACTACAATATCATATGACATCAAAAGACTTGGAATATAGTCCCTCTGTCCCTCAGAATTGCTTTTAAAATACTTTTAAGGTGCTTTTTGTCATTTTGCCCCCTTTCATTATATGGGAAAGAGTGGACAGGATATGCTTTAGAAATTTGCATTTTTTGTTCCATTGAGGAAAGACAGTCATAAAGATTTGGAAGGACTTTTTTTTTTCATCTCTGGGTGAACTGTCCCTTTAATGATAGTTTATTGATTTATCCTCAGTTCTATCTAGGAATGCATTACATTTGTAGTCTATAATAATCTGATACATCAAGGCAGTGATTATTACAGTAGGATAAAGAGAACGTGTGCTGCTTTGCAACATGGCCTTACTGCAGTTCTTTTCATCCGAGGCATCGGCGCAGTCGATGACCTGGTTGCACCAGGAGGATATTGGTATGCAAGTTCCATCTTGACAGGATGACTCAGATGCAGCACACGTGACATCTGGAACAGAGACACTTCATTTACACTGAGAGCGGAGAGACTAAAGCTCCTGGATGTGTGCTTGAATGAAATATTGTGCTGCAATATTTGTATGATATGCACCGCAATTCACTGATGATAACAGGGTCTTCCAGACAGGACAGCTCCAAAGAAAATGACTTGTAAATTGCTTTCACAGCTTGAAAATTGGACAGTCATTTTTGAGGTCTAACATGGCCCGAAATAAACCTACTAGCAGCACAATATATTTTTTGCGGCCTATTTTCTTTTATAGACTGCAAAAAAATAACTTCCTTAAGTGAAATTTATATGCAAAATGTAAAAATAATAATATTCGCAGACAAGATACCCACTGTTACAAAATGCCTCATCTGAGTTGTCCCCACAGTCGTCCATTCCATCACAAAAGCGATTGTTAGCCACACAACGCCTGTTGTAGCAAGGACGGTAACCCTTTCGGCAGCTCCTGTTGTCTAGCGATACGGAAAGCAACGGCACAGCAAATCTTTCACATCAGGGCAAAAAAGCTTCATATCCTCTCTCTTATTTACTTTATCCGTTGCTCTGGGCTTATTCCCATTTGCTCCTCTGGTTGAAAGCAGTAAGGAGAAGCGGCTCATTTTATTAGGTTGAAGCCTCAGGGAATGGAACTGCCACCTTAAACCAATTCTGCGTGCTTACTGCTTTCATGATGCAGGAGCAGGGAGTACATACTGCGAAGCATTGTGATCGGCTACTTACCACAATATTGCATTTTCTCATCTGACTTGTCTTTGCAGTGGGCAATTCCATCACATGTTAGCTGGTAGTCTATACATTCCCCATTTCCACACTCAAACTCAGTGTGGATGTTGCAAGAGGACGTTTTTGCTATAAAAGAACACAAAAAACTTTCTTACTGTACAACTCTACACAGAGATTAAGTGACTCCAGTTATGAGCAAACAATGAACAACATCAAGTGTGATACAAATAAGACTTTATTAACTACATAAACACTTAAACTAGTCTAACATACTACATAAACACTTAAACTGGTCCAACATACACATACGCACACACACATACGGTTGGTATAGGAAAGGGTTAAAGCTTAACGCAGTAAAGAGAAGAGAAAATAAGAATATTAAGTTATGGAACCATTTGCTATTCAGCAGATCTACAGCCTGAAGGAAACAGCAGATTCTTAGTTCAAACACACCTTTGTAAAAAGGTGCAAATGATACCTAATGTATCAATTAATAAGACTAAGTTTGAATACTTGCACGTCTCGTCTGTCTGAAAGAAAGGCTTTATGCAGTTCAAAGGTTCAAGTTGGTCTTTGCTGAAGTTGGTTGATGAAAAAAGAACCAGTTTTGAGTCAGAGAATCTTGGTGAATGGAAAAGTCAAGGCCGAAGCCTGGCACGAGCTTAGGATGTCCTGGAGCGTTGTAGCTCACATTTTCTCAAAACCTAACAGAACCACCGACTCTGGGCGGGTCACATGGTGTGACCATGGGGACCAGGGGGGCCTGGTGTCATTACAGACATCCTGGCACCCAGTTTATTGGGTGAGCGGACTGTGACGATTTGTTAATCTAATGAAAAATTGTGTTTTTGATTGGTCCAGATGCTACAACATGTTAATCATAGAAAAGATGTATTCAACTGCATTTTGAATTGATTTTGAATTAACTTCTGAATAAAAAAAATTAATAAGAATTAGAATCATGTCTTTGATCCAATAGCACACCTTTTCTCAAAAAGCTACACTTTTTGAAGTACCATCCATGTCCAGAAAGAGTTTAAATCCCAAACTTCTGAGCAACAGCCATAGCGATGACTAGTTAAATACAAAACAAATGCTGGAATAAATGAAGCAAAGTAATTTCACATCTTTCTGAGATGGAGGGACTCATATTCCTTGAGAGTCTGAGGGAAGCATGGTGAAACTTACACACGCATCTGTTGTCATCAAGCAGTATCCGCTCTCCTCGGCAGCTGCAGTTGACTGTGCCATCTGGAGTAAGGAGACACAGGTCACCACAGCCACCATTCAGAACCCTGCATGGAGATAGCTCGCCTGAAACACAGGGACAAGGGAACATCACGTACCTTCACAACAGTGCTCTGAGTATATATAAAAAAGCCTAAATAACAATATTAAGCAACAAACAAACATGAACACAGAGAAAAGTCATTCCAAAGACTTTGAAGTGAGCAATCCACAAAACTTTGAGCTAAAACAGGTTTGCTTTCTTAAAAAGAGCTGACTACACTGACAAAAGCAGTACATCAGGGACATTCACTGAATACCCTGGAGTTCCTACAAAGTGCAATTCCTAAGCAAAACAAAAAAAAGTTGTTAAAAATGTAAAACGTAAGTGTAATCTCATTTAAATGGAAGAATAGAACTATACTGTTCTGCTCCACGTATTTCTAGGTCACTAATCAAATATGCAAATTTGTGATATTAAACATGCGACTCTTTAGTACCAATGTTAGTTTAGTCTTATTGAGATACTATTATAGTTTTTTATTCAATTTTTGAATCAGTTTTAATTTTTATATTTTCAGCTTTCTTCATTTAAATTTTTAATTGTAATTTTAGTAATTTTGTGTTGTATACTGTTGATAGATGTAGATAGTTTAAGATAGAACGATAGATAGACAGACAGACAGACAGACAGACAGATAGAACGATAGATAGAATGATAGATAGATAGACAGACAGACAGACAGAGAGACAGACAGACAGACAGACAGAGAGATAGACAGACAGACAGACAGATAGATGATACAGACAGACAGACAGATAGATAGATAGATACAGTATATTGTGTGCTATTTATTTTAGAGTGTATATAGTTTTTATTAATTTTTATTTCAGTTATAGTTTTTGTTATTTTAGTACAACATTTTTTATACATGATTTTATACTTTATTTAATATCAGTTAAAGCTATTATTTTTATTTCAAATAAAACATTTTTATGGTGTACATTTTAGTTTCAGTTTTAGTTAACTATAATAACCTTGCTTTATACAGACGTCAGATGTTCTCACATCCATTAAAGCACAAGATGTTCTTAGGACAGATCTCAAATCATGCTGGAGAACAGGTTTTTGGTTTATGCTGCCTAACTGCTGTCATTAAAGATACCAAGACATTCTGCAAGTTTTACTCTAATTATTATGCAGGTAATGTATATTTATAATTAAAAACAAAATAGAAATAGAAAGAATTGTCCATTTAATCAGACTGGTCAAATAACTTTTAAATGAACATCCAGACTATCAGGAAACGTTATGAATCCAGAACATTGTGCCTCTGGGAGCTGTATGAAGCACCCATACCTATGAAGAGCCTCCAGCATCTCTAATTCATTGTACTGTGTCTCAACATGAATATGGAAACAAGTCTCAAAAATCAAAGGTGGTGTGTTAAAGGCATCATATGATGTTGCTAAAAAGAACATTATTTTGTGTATTTGGTGTAATGAAATGTGTTTATGCGGTTTAAGGTAAAAAAACATTATTTTCCACATACTGTACATTATTGTTTCTCCTCTATGCCCCGCCTTTCTGAAAAGCGTTGATTTTTACAAAGCTCATCGGTCTGAAAAGCGAGGTGTACGCTGATTGGCCAGCTATCCAGTGTGTTGTGCTATTTAAGTATAAATACCTCAAGCGTGTGATGGAAATGTTACTCTCTTACCATATTGTGATGCCCTGTCCGGCCAGAGCAATGAAACAAAAACATTAAAACCCATTATAAACGAGGCATTTGTTGCATCCAGTGGGGACATAATTACTGATTATAATGACTTATACTGCGTTTTTACGCGTTGCGTTGCATCGCGCCGCGTGAACATAAAACTATGTCTGCATTTGTGATCGGAGAAATGACAAACAACAAGCGCTACTCTACACTGCTCAAAACTCGCGTTTGAATCGTCAGTGGCAAATTCTTTAAATATAAAAAACGTACTTGCAGTCCGTGAGTCAGAACAGCCGGCATTGTACTCTACTCTACCAGGATCAGGAAACAGTCCTCCATAAAATGCGCTGGACACATCTGAATATTTGGATTGAGCTGTTCCGGAACAGTGTTGTAAATACAACTTAACCACTGATTTCTAGTCGTGTCCTCTTTTGGAAGGCCAAACAAAGTAGTTTCGCTTTCACAATGAAACACATGGCGGGCTAGAGTGAGCAGAGGCCGGAGGCCTAGAGTGAGCGGCGGGCTAGAGTGAGCAGAGGCGGGCAGGCTTGCGAACGGCGCGGCTGGCGGATTCGACGAAGGAGCGTCCGGCGGGCTTGCGGCAACCACATGTGACGACCCCGGGCTGGACTCCGCTTCGTCCCCG